CTCCTGGCTTTATATGCAGCATTGGAAATTGAAAGGAAAACTTAGGAACTGGGATTTGGAGCTCTCTGGCCCAGATAGTAGGCAAAACCATTTAAAAACCTACCAATGATGTAGGCCAACTTCCCAGAAGAGTATTTTCCATTCTCACCCCTTTTAAACCCTTAATTGTTAGCCAGAATTTGGAAACAGGGTGATCTAACACGAGCATAAAACCAGGATATTTTTGAATGCATCTCATGTGCCATTGGAGCTCACATGCCATGTGCCTGAGAATATGAGCGGTTGGCCAAAGTTATTCAGGATTTTTTAGGCACATTTTTCTGAACCAGTGGTTTGCCTGTAAATTTTGAAACTATTTTAGGTGTCAAGGCAATATTTGTTCGCTCTTGTTTCTGGCTCTTCTAAATGCAGAGTGTGGCATCTGCCGCAAATAGTAAGAATCGAGCTGCTGTGTTGCCCACGGCCGTGTTTGTGAGGAAGTTCCCTCAAGCAAGAGCCAAGAAAATGACAGAGTCAGAGTGGGTCTATGGCCGGGCCCCTGATCCCATAGAAGACAGCTACTGTTTATCCCGTGGTAGAGAAATGAGTTTCCTCGAGAAGGCCCACATGTCGGCATCTGTTTCAGAGTAGCCCTAACAATATTAACAGCTGAGATGTTATATGGTCCTGAGGTGGCTTGGGGGTATCAGAGTGAATTGTGATCTTCTCACCAGCTGTAGTTCCACATCTGGAGAACAGCTGTAAGGAACCATAAGTTCAGAAGGATGCCTCAGGGTGGAAGGCATTGTGCCTGTTACAGGACTAGGCAAGTTTTTTTTTCTCGAAAAAAAAGGACAATGTGCATATGTAGTGCCCAGTTATATGGGTACAGTCCATATTTCGGGTGAGCCTTGCTTCACCGGTCAAGGTTTGTGTAACTACCCTCCTTTACTTCTGCTGAGGAGTGCGTGGTTGGGGAACATTCTCATGCGGCGCCATCCTCTGATGAGTACTTGCTGTATGCAGTGATTGCTGGGTAATAAACACATAGCATCTGAGAAATAAAGAAAAATTAACTAGCCCATGTGTTAATCCTTGAAGCCACGCCCCCTTCTAATACCCAGTACTCCCCGCTAGATTTACCCAAGTGGTTATGGAATATCAATCTGATCAAAGCCTCTGACTAACACAAAGTACAGGAAAGCAGAACACACACAGGGTACAGGAGAAAATCACTGCCTTCTGACGACCTGATCACTCGGGTTATTTTTTGTGCTAAAGCAGAACTTGTTGATTCTGTTTGGTAATCTCCAGAATAAGAAGTGTACAGATGTTTTTTTAAGATTCCTGCTATCCTTACAGATTGGAAAGTTCATGCACGGCAGCTGTGGGAACTAGAGATAGAGAGAGGACCGGTTGAAGCAAGATAACCATCTGCCTAGAGGTGTTTTATTTCAGGAGCAGCTTTGAGACAAAATGCATGTTAGGAGAGGTTGAAAATGGAGAGAGTGGATGAAATTATAGACGGTTAGTGCTGGAAGGGGCCCTTTCGGTGATGCAATCTGGTCACTTTTTAAATGAGGAAACTCAGCCGGGTAAGGTCGATAGCTAGTTAAGGGTCATCCTGCTGTCTGCCCTCAGATCGGAGGAGAGGCAGAGAGGGACATGGTGGAGGCGTCAAGGAGAGCCAAACAAGGAAGGCAAGGAAGACAGACCAAGAAGGGTGGGGAAATAAGCACAAGGCTTCAAGAGGGGATGAGCCAAAAAACTGAATTGTCAGAAACATGCCCCCCTCCTCACCCCGGCCGGCTGGCCTGGGGACCAAGAGTGCTGACCACAGGCAGGCTGTCCCTGCCACTGGAGACGCTGAGTAAAGCACTGACCAGGGATTCTGATCACACTCCACTTCCTCCCCGACCCGCATCTCTGAGTGCGGATAGTAAACTGAGAATCAGCCACCTCGATGGTGGTGGGCTTCTGCTGTCCAGAATGCAGAAAGGCTAGGAGATGGACGTGTTTCCACCTGCCCACCCTCTTGCTCATCACCTGGGTGCTTGGTGGCTGAGGCTTAGTGTCCTTGGAGAGCCCCATACATAAGGAGTCTTACTCCTCCCTCTTTTAGCCTAGGAGCTGATAAACGATCTCTGCCTCCTCTCTTAGCCTCTGCTGCTAGAGGGAGGAGGGAAAGGAAGTGAATCAGCTACCCTAGCTTTCATCTGTCCCCACTGCTGACCAAGCCCTAGGGAGGAGAAAAGCTGCTTCCTGGGGAGCGTGGGATGGGGGACCCGTGGACCCCAGGGTTTCAGATCCTGCTGAAATCAGCTCAGGACCTCGCCTCCACCAGCTGGCTGTCTCATCCCTGCCCCCTTTCTGATGGTTGAGGGGAGAATACATGGGCGTGTGAAGCTGGCTGGTCCCAATTGCACCACTGCGGCTTCATTGATGATTAACCTGGGCCTCCTGGAAGGGATATAAATCACTCATTCAGCCTTGCTGGCAGGTGCCCCACCTGTCATTAGCCATGCAGGGTGAGGTGGGAAGGAAAACTTGCTACAATCTTGATAAACCACTGGGAAGCAAAAGTGATTGCCTGCTGGAGACGTGGGAGCATGAGAAACATTATGCTTCCTCCTGGGTCTGGTGAGAGATGGTGGAGCCAGGAAATGGTGTGGGTCAGCCTTGCTCCAATGCACAGGGCTTCTCTTTGCATGAACCTGTTGGGGCATACAGCTTGTTGAACATAGGAGGCCATGAGGAATCATTTCCAAGTCATGGCGTCCCTGCACAAAGGGAAGCAGGAACTTTTGTTTGGTTGAGGAATGAATATTCAAAAGGGAGAGGCGGGTATGCACTTGCACAGGCTCAGTTGGAGAACATGCTTCCACATAATGAGGCCTAAGCTCCTCCTGGAGAGATCTTTGCATTAAAGATAAGGCAAAGGCTGGGCTGGCCCCGTGGCTTAGCGGTTAAGTGCACACACTCCGCTACTGGTGGCCCGAGTTTGGAACCCCGGGCGCGCACCGTCGCACCGCTTCTCCGGCCATGCTGAGGCGGCGTCCCACATACAGCAACTAGAAGGATGTGCAACTATGACATACAACTATCTATTGGGGCTTTGGGGAATAAAAAAAGGAGGAGGAGTGGCAATAGATGTTAGCTCAGAGCCAGTCTTCCTCAGCAAAAAGAGGAGGATTAGCATGGATGTTAGCTCAGGGCTGATCATCCTCACACACAAAAAAACGATAAGGCAAAGGTCATGGGCATAGTTCTTGTGGTGAGGCTTGGTCAGTTTCAGGATGGCTGTTGGTTATATCTCCTTAACACACAACACGAAAACAAACAACCTGGAAAAACAGTTAATTGCTTCCAAACCCCCTTGGAGTTTCTCGAGGCCCCTAGTCAGTGACAAGGAGAGCCAATGTTGGTCTGAGGGGCTTGGTGCCAGTGCTTGTTCCTCAGGGGCCCATTCTGTCCCCACTTTGGTTGGAGAAAGCAGAGAGGGACTCGGTGTGGGTACAGAAGGTTATTAGGAGCAGCCCTAGAAAATTCACGTGCCTCTGAGGGAGGTGACACAAAACTAACGGACAATTTGCTCCCTTTGGAGCCTTTTACCACTTGCCTCGGGCCTCTGTGCCTGTTGTATCTTATTCTAGTCATTCTGCTAAGGCGGGGAGAGGGACAGAGCGGCACCACATGCCCTGCCCTTAAGGTGACATGGCACAGTGAACTAATGAGGGATGCACATCATAAGTACCTATTTTCTTGAATCTAAGACCCATGTTTCTTTTACATTTTAACCTTCAAGATAATAGGATGCATTTTATAACCTATGAATATAGTTAATGTTTTTTAAATCCCCCCTAAAGCGGTTATTAAAATAGTGGGTGCATCTTCGAGTCAGTTCTTAGAATGAAAGAAATGAGTATGATTTCAGTTTACCCTTTTTTGCTTTTAATGTCCACACCTTTTCCTACATATTTTTCACCTGAACTCTTGTTTCAGTATGAGACCTCCATTTCATACATTGGTACAAAGAGGAAAGTGCAGTTTTTGCCCTGTCTAGACTAACCCACTATCTCACCGTCTGTGACATTTCTGAATGTCTCCATGCTCTCCAGAGACCTGTGGCTGTGATGGAATCTTCTCCCAATCAGATTTGGTATCCACAGGCACGAATCTGGGAACTGGGGGGTCTAGGAAAGACTTGCTTTCCTTAAGATCTGTTTCTTCTTTTATAAAATCGCGTTCCTCTGCCTTCTAAAATATCTGTGGGGCTACCCTTCCCCCCAAGCCACCTGAGTGTTTGTCAAAACTCATAGAACTACACACTAAAAAGGAGGAATTTTACTGTAGGTAAATTGCACCTTCTATAAACCTGACTTTAAAAAAATCCAGTCAAACCACACACGTTCGCGTTTGTTGTTGCTGTTGCAGCATTGTTTGCAAAATATTAGAAACAACCCAGTGTCCATCCAGAAAGGATTGGTTAAATAAATTATGATAAATAATTTATCATAAATTTATCAAATAATTTATATGATAAATAAATTATGATAATAGTGATAAATCATACTTGCATGTGATGATATATTATGGGATAGCTGTTAAAAAGAGTTAGATCTGTACATCTGATGTGAAATATCTCCAAGATGTAGTAACAAGAGAAGAAAAGCAATATTCCAAACAGTGGGCACCATTTGCTCTCCCTTGTGTAAATGTGTACGTGTGTGTGTGTTTGGGTTGTTTGGCATATCTCCAGAAGGATGCGTGAGAAATTGCCAGCAGTGGTTTCCTCCGCTGAGAGGGACTGGGTGCTAAAGGATGAAGTAGGAGGAAGACGTCATTGGCACTATATACCTTTTTTGCATTTTGCATTTTGTTCATTGTGCATGTATTGTCTCTTGAAGAAACAGATATAAATAAAATAAAATAAATTGCTTTGACCAAAAGCAAAGCCCACAGGTCCCCAGAACTGAGAGGCATTGGCCTCTAGCCTGATTGTTTCTGTTTCTTGTTTTCAGGCCCATCCTCTGAGCCGACTCACTCGCCCACCAACAGTGGGAAGAAGCTCTTTGCTCCTGTTCCGTTCCCTTCTGGCTCCACAGAGGACGTGTCCCCCAGTGGCCCCCTGCAGCCCCCGCCTCTCCCCCAGAAGAAGTTAGTGAGCCGGGCAGCCTCTTCACCTGATGGCTTCTTCTGGACCCAAGGCTCCTCCAAGCCAAGAGCAACCAGTCCCAAGCTGAACCTCAGCCACTCGGAAACCAATGTCTGTGTCCATGAAGAGTCCCCCTTCAGCTACTCCTCGAGCCCCGGGAGCCGCCACCCTCTTCTCTTCTCCTCTTCTGAGCCTCTGGAGAAAACTTTCAAAGGCAGTGGCCACTGGGTCCCAGCCTCAGGGCTGGCGGGCAGCAAAAGCGGCTGCGGGAGCCCCAGCCTCCAGTGCAAAGGGGTCCCCTCGGCCTCGTCCTCCCAGCTGAGCGTGTCCAGCCAGGCCTCCGGCGGCAGCACCCAGCTTCAGCTCCACAGTCTCCTGAGCAGCGTCAGCAGCAAAGAGGGCACCTACGCCAAGCTGGGGGGGCTCTACGCCCAGTCCCTGGTCCGCCTCGTGGCCAAGTGTGAGGACCTCTTCTTGGGCGGCCAGAAAAAGGAGCTGCACTTCAACGAGAATAACTGGTCACTCTTCAAGCTGACCTGTAACAAGCCCTGTTGTGACTCGGGGGATGCCATTTATTACTGTGCCACCTGCTCTGAGGACCCCGGCAGCACCTACGCTGTGAAAGTAGGTACCACTCCCTCCTTCCATTCTGCAGTGCCCTCAGCTGGTTCCGGCGGTGGCAGGATTGTGGCTTGAGCAATCATGTCACCTCTGCAGGCTTTAGGGGGAGGGTTGATTCCTGAGGTTCCTTTTAACACTTAATGCTCAACGATTTCACTCTCTGCCTGGCCCAGGTCCTGGTGCTGTGAGATCTGTAGTGTGATTGTAGGGTCATTCTGTGCTGTCAGGAATGAACCTGTGTGATCTAATGGGATTAAGGACACAGTTGTCTTTTAACGCAACAGAGTTCCTTCATCTATTCAGCAGATTTTTCCTGAGTGCCCGCTATGTGCCAGGTATTTTGTAAAAATCTGAGTATATAGAGGTGAACATATGGTTCCTGTGGAGCTTATCATCTCCTAAGGGCGATGGGCAATTAAGATCTTGTTCTTCAAGTGTTAGAGTTGGAAGGAGAGTTAGACCCAGGCATCATCTTGCACAATAAGAGTAATAGCATTGCTTGAGCATTCGCTATACAAGTAGACTCTTGGCTGGGAGTGTTAACTACATCACCTCAAATCTTCAGAAGGTAGGTAGGTTTTACAGATGGGGAATCTGAGGCTCAAAATGCTTAAGTAATCTGCTCACAGCTAGCTGGTAGCTGAGACGGAGTTGAACCCTGCTTTGTCTTATCTCCAAAGCCTATGCTACCACCCTGTCAGTTAAGAAAAATGAGGTTCGGAGAAGTTAAGTGACTAGCCCAAGGTAATACAGCTCTTTACTCTTTGCCACTGGATCAGGGCTGTTGTGACCACACCCCATTGCTCTCTCAGGGTGCAGCTCTGAGCAAGCCGGGCCAGCCGTCTGCGCCCATCTGGTCACTCTGATCTCTGCCACGGACTCTGATCCTTCCATATGGCCCCCTTTCTCATCTTCATTTGGAGTTCCTTGAATGCCTGGTGGGTTTGTGGCCCTTCTATAAATGCAGGCTTCTGTGGGGGAGTGAGGAGGGGACTCCTGAGCTCTCTTCTGCCATCATGTGTCCCAAGATATTCCTTTTATTTCCAGTTAGAAAAATGCACATAGTAAACTAACATGAAATAACCTTGGTGGGGTAGCTTCCTGTTTACCAGTAAGATTTTTTTTTTTTTTTTGAGGAAGATTAGCTCTGAGCTACCATCTGTTGCCAATCCTCCTCTTTTGCTGAGGAAGACTGGCCCTGGGCTAACATCCGTGCCCATCTTCCTCTACTTTATATGGGACGCCGCCACAGCATGGCTTGACAAGCGGTGGGGGTGGTCCGTACCCGGGATCCGAACCTGTGAACCCCAGGCACCGAAGCAGAGCACACAATTTTAACCTCTATACCACTGGGCTGGCCCCTACCAGTAAGATTTTTCAAGATATTATGATTATTAGCCAAGGAAAATTGCAGTAAACTTTACTTTGAGATTTTTCTTTTAAGAAATTGGTGACACTACCATGAAATATAGATTAGGAACCCCTGAATTGTATGTTCAAGGGGCTATATATATAATTACTTGCTGCCTTCTTGTGAAAAAATTAGGTGTGAGGGGGTGGCTACTAGTAGGATCCAGTTAATTGTCAGAAATCAAGGCCCCAAAAGACGAGGGGGATATGGCCGAGATGGCAGGCACTAGATGGAAGAATGCAGCCATCTAGAATGAGAGTCTGTGGATTTCTTGAACTTCATTGCATCTGTATTTATATATATATAATATCTAAACTCAGCAGCTGCTCTCTTGGTAAGCTCTCCTTCCCTGCCACTCCCCCAACCATAGTTAAAAGAAAAAAGAAACAGTTCCAGCATTTCCCTTCCTATTATGATGGTGCTATATCCAGTAGAGGAAAAAGTGAGTGGACCCTCCCGTAAGCTGACCAGGATTACCCTGGTTATCACTGTTGGCCCAGAGCCAGGGGTCTGTAGCCATCCAATGAAAGGGATGGAAATTTGAGCTCCTTGAAAGCCAAGGGGATGGAGGTGCCTTTAGGAAGTTCTTCGCATCTGCCAGCCCCAGTGAACCAGAGAGAGTGACTGTGAATCACCCCTCCACTTCCACCTCCTGGTGTTCAAGTGCCTCCGACACTCTCACCTGTCTCCCGGGGCTGGCCCTGGGCGTTCACTCAGGGTCAAGAGGCAGCTGACCACTTTGAGGAGGAAAGAACCTGGTGGAAGAGGCTTAATCCCTCTTGCCCATGGGGTAGAAAGTGATGTGACCCTAAATGCAGGAACTAAGGGGCCACCTGGCACAAGACCTACTGCTGGATCAGAACCTCGGGGCCGGGGGTTTGGTTTTTATATCCATAAGTGATTGTGATGTGCAGCTTGCCTTCTAGGACCTCCTATAATAGTGTAGAATTAGCCACATTCTCCGACGAACAATGCAGAAAACTCAGCTTTCCCAGAGGATGTTAAAAACAAGCATTGCTCCTCATTTCATTACAAATCTAAACCATAAGGAAACCAGAAGATAGGCCTTGGTCCTCCAAGGACGAGAGTCCCAGGGGTCTCCTATTTGACTTTGCCGGAGACTTGGCAGCTCAAGGACTATCTTGGTAACGGGTGAAAGGAAATCTGGAGAAGAGCTTCAAATATTCAGAGTCTGGGGAACAACAATATCAATTTGCAAATGTGCCTGGCTTGGTATTGGGGAGGGCGGGGTGGGTGTTATGGAACATCATTTCGCACGTGCAGCTGTTCCGCTTCATTAGCACGGCAGTCTAGACGGAATACAGTCATCTGGAATCCGCAGGAGGGGGAGCGGGTCTCTCTTCCCGCGTCGCCTGTCTGTCGCTGAGCTCATTTCATCTGTGCATGGTAAGCAGGAGCCTTGGTGGCAAGTCCCCATTAACAAAAGCGGCCTCACACCTGCTCCCGCTAACGCTGGACCCTCTGTCTGCAGGCTGGGTGCCCTGCAGCAGCTAGGAGGTAAAGCCACTCTTGTCGCCCTACTCCATGAATATGTGGCCGAAAAAGAAGTGATTGGCTGTGTGTGAGTTTTCGAAGCTGTTTCACTCCCCAGTCAACTAGAACTCCAGATCCGTAATTAGGGACCCGTGTTAAGCCGGCTGGGCCTTTTTTATTTAACAGACGTGACTTAGCCCAGATTTTCAACCACAAATGAGGCCATGGCTCCAAAGTTGAAAGTGAGACTTGGCTCAGGAAAACGTTTGAAATTTGAGCTGAACCAAAGATTTGTGTGAAGGTCTTGAGCCAAAACCCAAGTGCAGACCCTCTGAAAATGAAGTGGGGAGGAGTGAGGGGAGATGGGGATGGAGAAGAAGTCTCCCCACCCCCCTCTCGCTCCTCTGCCCCCCTAATCTGGCACTCCGCGCTCTAGAATGATCTCGGGGGTGCCTGCCCAGGGCTCCCCGCTCCCGTTCACGTGCGCTGGCTCTCCCGTGCAGGCAGTGAGGAAGTCTTGCCAGAGGGCCGGCTCACTGATTTTGAAATGCATCCAGCCCAGTTGCCATTTACTCTGCTTCTCTGTGCAACTGTCGGCAGCTCCCTTGGAGCTCGGGCAGAGTGTTTGCTGGGCCCAGGCCTTTGACGCCCTGGAGAAAGGGATCCTTGGAAACACTTCCCAGGCCCCGGGCAGCTGCGCCCTCTGGTTTGTACAGTAAGCTGCAAGCCAGCTCTGGATTGCTCGCACCACCGCATGGGTACGGCCGTGCAAGAGCGGTCGCCATAGCAACCTGTCCCAGTGGATGCCCACCGTGGACTAGGCGCTATGCTGAAAGCCACACCTGTGTTGTGTCATTGAATGCTCACGATGGCCCCGTGCGGAAGGAGCTGTCACTGCCGCTGACACACAGAGGAGAAAACAGACTGAGAGATAAATTCAGTCCATCCTCTTTCATGGATTCCATATTTGTGAATTCACTGGTAACATTTATTTGTAGCCCCAAATCAATACTGTGGCATTTTTGTGGTCATTCCTGAATATGCACAGAGTAGGGGGAATTGGAGTCACCAGGCATGCAAACTCCCAGCTGAGGTGGAACAAGGCGATGCTCTACCTTCTTGTTTTAGTTCTCATACTGAAAACAGGTCTCCTTTTGGAGGTTTATTTAGTGCCTCCTTCTTCACATTTTTGTGCTATTTTGGTGATTTCTCTGTTTAAAATGGCCAAGCTGAGCACTGAAGTCCTGTCTCGGGTTCCTAAGCTCAAGAAGGCTGTGATGTGCCTTTGGGAGGTGTTCGATAAGCTTCATTCAGGCACGAGTTACAGTCAGTTGGCCATGAGTTCAGTGTTAATGAATCGACAATATCTACTAATAAGGCTTTTTTTTTTTTTAAAGATTTTATTTATTTATTTATTTTTCCCCCCAAAGCCCCAGTAGATAGTTGTATGTCATAGCTGCACATCCTTCTAGTTGCTGTACGTGGGACGCAGCCTCAGCATGGCCGGAGAAGCGGTGCGTCGGTGCATTCCCGGGATCGGAACCCAGGCTGCCAGCAGCGGCGTGCACGCACTTAACCGCTAAGCCACGGAGCCAGCCCTAATAAGGCTTCTTTAAACAGAAACACACATAAAACCGGGTTACATATGGCCAGTTGGTGAAAATGCTGCGACCAAAGGCTTTCAAGAACTTCACATTGCATTTTCCCTGGGAGCAAAGGTTCAGTATTCACTAATCCGGTGTTTGTGGCTACTTAGTAGAACATAACTACTGCAAATAACTAGAATCGACGGTAACCTGCCAATGTTTACAGAGTTCATATTTAAACCAAGGTCTTTGTCACTCCAAAGCAAATACTTTTGACCTCTAGAACAACTTCTCAGTTGTGTAATCTTGGGCAAATAACTTAACCTCTTGAAGCCTCAGTTTCCTCCTCTGTAATAGCATCTACCTCACCGGGTTGTTTGAGATTTAATGAGACACTGCATGGAAAGTGCTTAGTAGGCGCAGTGCCTCACACATACCAGAGTCAGGTAGGTGTCTGTTGTGGTCGAGAAGCCCTCACTGGAGGGGGCGACCTGACATCCAGTAATACTTTCCCCACGTATGCATAGATAGCACAGCAGACACATCCATACACAGTGGTTGGTATTTATATGCAAGACGATTCTTTGAGGACCCCCCAAATTTCCTTTAGTTTACTAATGTCCCAGAAGACTGCCACTTAAAAGCTGAATACAGTTGGGTGGGCTGGAATAAGAAAGAGCCTGCAACAATGCCTTTTAGATAAGTATTCCAAAATCATTTTTATTAGTGTAATAGGAAACAATGTCTGGGATAAAATCTACTTCCCTTTTATTTCTGTTCTACCCCTAAAATAGATTACTAAATTAATGTGTTACCTCCCCCCACCTCTCAATTATCTTTTTAAAAGTTTCCTCATGGGCTGAACTCTTTTATCCTAGGTTTCATGCTGAGAAGGTTTGTATAGCTGCAATGCAAATAAATCTCTGTGAAAAGGTGCTTGCAACAGAACTTCTAGAAACATCACCTGTAAGCATTGTGGTGCTCCGTAAACACTGCTGTAATCATTCGAGTGTAGCACCCGGCTTCCCTAAGGGTTATTTGGGGATTGTTTGCAGGATGGTATTTTTTAGGTAGATGCGGGATGCCTTTCTTCCCAGGATTACACGCTGCTCCTTACCTTCCATAAAGCATGGCTGAGATTGCACAAGATCCTTTTGAGAGAGGAGACCACAGTCCATCTTCAGTCCCTTTCAGCATAATTACAGGGAAATCGAGGCCTGACAGGGGGCCATTATATCTGGCTCAAGACTCTCCAGCTGTGTGGCAGCCAGATGAGGATTAGTGTTGCTAGAGATCCTCGGGTGGCTGGCACTGTCATTATTACAAGATGTTGAAGAGGCGGTGTGGGGATTCCCCAGAGGAGCTTGAGATTATCTGCTTGTTTATTCCTACCTTCAGTTTAGAGGGTGCCTTTGGCACTTGGGGATCGCTGTCGCTGGAGAGCTTTCTGTTTTCTTTCAGCTCGATGACTCACCCTCGGAGGAAAGTGTGCGCCTTCCACATAAATCAGCTCGCAGGTCATGCCAGCTAGCAGGCATGTGTATTTGCCTAGATCTAGAAACCTGGGCAGCTCAGAGAACTTGGCCAAGTCCTAGAGGTTTAGGGCCTGCATCTGCCGCTGAGATTCCCAAGAAGGGAGCACCCCAGAAGTCAAACACATTTGCTGTCAGGTAGCTGCAGATTCGGGTGTGAGGGATGGGGAGTAAGGCTGACTGCCTGTGTAAACTCTTGTCTGGCTTCCTGAGAATTTGTCCAGCCCGCACCTTGGGCGGAGGGACGTCTTCCTACTGATATCAGGGCGCCACACTGCGAAGTGTTGTGCAGGGACCCCACTCTTGCTGGGTTGTATGGTAATTTTATGTTTAACTTCTATAGAAACTGCCAAACTGTGTTCCAAAGTGACTGTACCATTTTACATTCCACCAGCAAATGTATGGATTTCTCCACATTCTTATAGACATTTATTATTGTCTATGAGACAAATTCTAGTCGGTGTCAACTGGTGTCTCATTGTGGTTTTGATTTGCATTCCCCTAATGACTCATATGATGTTGAGCATCTTTTCATGTGCTTATTATGGCCATTTACATATTTCTTTGGTGAAATGCCTAATAATATCTTTTGCCCACTTTTTGATTGGGTAGTTTATCTTTTTTTTTTTTTTTTATAATTTTATTTATTTATTTATTTTCCCCCCAAAGCCCCAGTAGATAGTTGTATGTCATAGCTGCACACGCTTCTAGTTGCTGTATGTGGGATGTGGCCTCAGCATGGCTGGAGAAGCAGTGTGTCGGTGCGCGCCCGGGATCCGAACCCGGGCCGCCAGCAGTGGAGCGCGCGCACTTAACCGCTAAGCCACGGGGCCGGCCCGGTAGTTTATCTTCTTATTACTGAGTTGTAAGAATTTTTTGTAAGTTTTGGATACAAATCATGTATCAGATATGTGTTTTGCAAATATTTTCTCCCAATCTATTACTTGTCTTTCCATTTTCTTAATGATATCTTTTGAAACACCAAAGTTTTGAATTTTGATGATTATCCATTTTTTCTCTTATGGACCATGCCTTTGGTGTGGTACTGAGAAATCTTTGCCCAACCTAAGGTCTCAAAGATTATCTCCTGTGTTTTCTTCTAAAATTTGTATGTTTTGGCTCTCACACCTATGTCTGTGCGATTCATTGGAGTTGATTTGTGTGTATGGTGTGAGATAAGGGTTTGAGTTCACCTTTTTGCATGTGGATATCCAAAGTCCCAATACCATTTGTTGAACAGAATGATGGATCCCACTCTTGACCTCATTTCTCCTTTTCCCCACAGATCTGCAAAACCCCTGAGCCCAAAACGGCCTCCTACTGCAGCCCTTCTGTGCCCGTGCACTTCAACATCCAGCAGGACTGCGGCCACTTTGTCGCCTCGGTGCCCTCCAGCATGCTCACCCCTCCCGACGCACCCAAGGACCCTCTGCCTGCCCCGCCCTCACACCCTCCTGCCCAGGAGCAGGACTGCGTGGTGGTCATCACCCGAGAGGTGCCCCACCAGACCGCCTCTGACTTTGTGCGGGACTCAGCCACCAGCCATCAGTCTGAGCCCGAGGTTTACGAGCGGCGCGTGTGCTTCCTGCTTCTGCAGCTCTGCAATGGGCTGGAGCATCTGAAGGAGCATGGGATCATCCATCGAGACCTGTGCCTGGAGAACCTGCTGCTGGTGCACTGCACCCCCCAGGCCTCCCCGGGCCCCTCCCCCCCTGCTCCCCCTGCCTCCTCTGCCACCTCCAGCGCCCCTCCCACCTCCACATCCCCTTCTCCTGCAGCTACTCCCTCCCCTCACCCTTCTGCTGCCCTCCCTGCCAGTGTGCCTGCCAGTGCCCCAGCTGCCCCCGCCTGTCAGGGAGTGCCCAGTGAGAAGCACCTGCCCCGGCTCATCATCAGCAACTTCCTGAAGGCCAAGCAGAAGCCAGGCAGCACCACCAACCTGCAGCAGAAGAAGAGCCAGGCCCGGCTGGCCCCGGAGATCGTGTCCGCCTCCCAGTACCGCAAGTTTGATGAGTTCCAAACAGGCATCCTCATCTATGAGCTGCTGCACCAGCCCAACCCCTTCGAGGTGCGGGCCCAGCTTCGGGAACAGGACTACCGGCAGGAAGACCTGCCCCCACTGCCCACCCTGTCCCTCTACTCGCCCGGCCTGCAGCAGCTCGCCCACCTGCTGCTGGAGGCCGACCCCATCAAGCGCATCCGCATCGGCGAGGCCAAGCGGGTGCTGCAGTGCTTGCTGTGGGGACCCCGGCGGGAGCTGGTGGAGCAGCCGGGCACCTCCGAGGAGGCGCTCTGCAGCACGCTGCATAACTGGATCGACATGAAGCGGGCTCTGATGATGATGAAGTTCGCCGAGAAGGCGGTGGACCGCAGGCGCGGGGTGGAGCTGGAGGACTGGCTTTGCTGCCAGTACCTGGCGTCCGCGGAGCCCGGAGCCCTCTTACAGTCGCTGAGGCTCTTGCAGCTCCTGTGAGCCCCGCCCCCAGCCCCGCCCTTGATCTCCTGCCTCCGTGCCTGCCCCCCATCCTGACCCCCATGCCCTGCCTTGTCTTGGAAACATCCACGTCTCCCTGGGAAATGGTACAAATGACTGTCATACTTGGATGTAATATATATATATAAAATATATAAATATGAAAGACTGACGATGTCATTGCCCTTTCAGGCCTCCTCTCCTCTGCAAGTCCTCCCAGTTTTCTCCTACAATTATGTGCATTTCTAGTTCAGTGCAAGGTCCTGAAGACAGGTCTGCCAACAGAGTGAAGCCTGGACTCTGGTCTCACTACCCCAATATGGGATCTGTTCACCTTCTTGTCAAATGGTTATTAAAAAACAAAAAAACTCCATTTTTAAAAAGTTTTGGTTGAGTCATGAGCAAAGCTCTTTTATCCCAAAGTGCCCGAGTGCGTCAGTATCTTTGGTGGGTAAAATTGAATGTAAACCTCTGAAGCAGTGTCCAGGCCCCCTGAAGTGTCCTTGGTCTACACTTCTTGTGAGACAGAGCAGCAGACCACAAGAGCCTAGGCTTGCTGGTACCGATTAATCTTCCCTCTTCTCCCCCCACCTAGCAGTCTTTTAGAAAGAATCTAGACACAGCTGGTGTGATCCCAGAGTTTCGGAATTCAACCCCACTGCTCCACATCCATTTCTAGTTTGCTAAAGCTCATTACCATTTGCACAGCCAGAGGCCTGGCTGGAAACAGAATCCACCCCAGATGGTTCAGATGGAAAGACCTTAGCAGGGGACCACTTAGAGTAGTATGGGCAGGGTTCAGAGAAAAAACAGAGGATGATGAGGCAAAGACAAGGGCCGAAATGGGGACAGTTACCTGTTCACTATTCTTATTTCCCGCCTGTCATCTCCAGGCAAAGACCAATGGGGCCAGATTGCAAGGGGGCTTGGGTGATGCGGTCAGCAGGATCAGCCTCCCAGGGCAGGGAGAGGGGAGGAATGATGAGGTGCCTGGTGGCAAACCAGCCCACTGTTCCTACTATACTAGATAACAGCAGTGCAAGAATAAAACTCATGTGTTCCCATCCCCAGACCAGTAGTCTGTCTGCTGTTCTAAGCTCCTTCAGGTTTCTATTTTTAAAAACTCATTCATTTGAGGCCAGCCCAGTGGCATAGTGGTTAAGTACACGTGCTCCACTTCGGTGGCCTGGGGTTTGCGGATTCAGATCCCGGGAGTGGACCTATACACTGCTCATCAAGCCATGCGGTGGCGGCATCCCACATACAAAGTAGAGGAAGATTGGCACAGATGTTAGCTCAGGGACCATCTTCCTCAAGCAAGAAGAGGAAGATTGGCAACAGATGTTAGCTGAGAGCCAATCTTCATCACCAAAAAACAAAAAACAGACAAACAAACATTCATTTAACAAACTTACTGGCGCCTCCTGTTTCCTGTAATCAGTATCTGTTACCATGCCTTTAAAAGTGCACAGAGAGAATTAGGAAGCAGCACACCTTTCCTCCTCGAAATTGGACACACACAAAGTCATTAATTACTCATTTGAAGGGCAACAGCCCCAAGACGCTTATATTTCTCCCTAAAAGGTCATCTTCCAACTTGTGAATTAATTAATTTCTAAAAGCTTAATAACCACTATGGACAATTTAAAACAAATGCAAAGATCTTTGTGGATGGCCTAGAAATCTGAGGATGTGGCTAGCAACCAGGATGGGGAAATCTCCCACGTCCCCTTCTGTGTATGATTTCCACTCATTTTGCAAGCTCTGCCTTCTGCCTCGGACTACAGGTAAACACACCCACATTTCCATGCATCAGCTGTGAAGACGGCATTTCAATTGCTGCTCCAGCATTGAGGAAGGAACTGGCTGAAACCAGCTTCCAACTATGTTTGTACAAGAGCAAGAAAGTCTTTGAACATGGAAATCATAATTCTTCGTAGGAACTATCTGTTTCAGAGGGGATCATTTTGTTAGTTGTTTGTTCCTGGGAATTTTCCAGGCAAACCCTCCACCCTCGATTTTCTGTCTTTTGCTTTCTTGTCCTTTCTCACTTTAAATAAATAAACAATGGAGAGGGAGGAAACAAATTCTGCCAGGGGAATGCAGTGCCATTTGGAAACATGTCTCAAGAGGCACATTTTAAATCTCTGAATTAATTACACCTTGTTTATATGCCACCCACTTCAGGAAAAAAAAAATTGAGATTGTAGAAAACGTTTTAAGAACCAAAATGATCTCAAAAGTAAAGATGGAAAGAGAGGAAACAAAAGCAATAAATTCTGATTGAGAAGAATGAGAGCAATCAAACATAAAACTTGCTTCTGAGCCATCCACCAACCTAGAAAAAGTAGAAAGCAGCCGGTTACAGACTTCTTTGTGTAATTTTAGGAAACAGTTCAGTTCATCAGGAGGAACAAACCTTTTCCCACTGCTTGGTTCCAAAGGGAATTTGTCAAGGATTTCCTTGTTTAAAGACATTGAATAACGTTTCCAATAGCAGGTTAAAAAAACAAGAAGACATTTTTCTAGATAAGGCAATTTCTTATGTCCACCATGGGTGAAATCCACGTATGCAGCATTCAAGCCTAGCTCCATCAAGGAGATTCTATAGGGTAATTGCCACCCATTCATTTCCACGGATTGACCTCTTCCGGCAACAGTAAGTCACGGGGGCTACAACTATTAGGTTTGGCAAACGGCTTCAGTCACACTGAATTCAGGGGCTCACTATAACTGGTTTTTTGTTACCTCAAAATACACCTGGGATGCACGGCTTTGTCTCACAGAAAGCTTAGCACTAAATAGATTAGCTCCAGAAACAATAGCTTCTTCCACAGCACTAAGCTTCGGATATAAGCAGGGACCTTTGTATGATGACAGTCTCTTAACGTCTGGCTATTTAATATACCTGGTATCACTGAGTTCCTCTCCTTTTGTTTGGCTTTAGACCCAACTACTGGTATTTAAATCTCCAGGGTTTTTTTCTCTCCAGCTCTGAGTCAAGTCGCCCCCATATCCTTTCCACATTTTTAATTTTTGTTGTTAACGAGCCTTTCCCTTTTTCATGCCAAGATATGGAATCTTTTTCCTTCTCCTAAATTCTTTCCTGGAGGCGTGATGAAGCTGTACATGTAAATTGTTATATCCTTGCCAAAAGCAAGATAAGCACTTCAAGGATTATTTATTTATCATAACACATGGCTCAGAGCTAAAAAGACAGGGCTCTGGGGAGCTGTAGTTACCACTCTGTGTAACACTTCCTGGTTTTCAAGAGCTGGGGGCTGGAGAAAGCTCTTTTATGATGTATACATGTACGCAAAACAGTTATGAAGAATTTGAAGATGGAAGACATATGTTACTTTAATGACTTCTCTGAAATTCGTTCTTTAAATATATAGCCAATAAATGAGGCAGCCCTTTCCCACTCTGCTGAATATCTATAAATCTTTTAAGATCTAAGCATAAGCTTATTAAATCGCATTAGAAGTAGTAGATTTGTAATGTAAAATCTGCTTGGCATATTTAATAGAGGGTGATGTGAATGGAATTGATTCATTAGAAACCAAAATTTAAACCAGCTGATGTCATTGCCAAAAATAAAAGACAAGAATAAAATGTTTGGGGCAAGTTCCAAGGGGTCATTGTCTTGACAATTACTCTCCTTCTCTTTTCCAATGCTAATTAACGGGGGTAAAGGGACAGCCAAGGAGACCTACTCCAGGAAAGAGATGTCCTAGGAGGACTTGTGCCCTGAAAAGGAGGTTGTGAGGTAGCCTGATGGGTTCCAGGGCCCCGGGAAAGGCGTCTTAATTAACCCCAAAACATTATCATTGATTTAGGGGGAACTGGGATTGAGCCAGAACTAGGATCCTTACTGGATCCTGGATACTCAGTCGTCTCTCATCTGCATCTTTCCTCCCAGGACTTGATTACATCCATTCCAACTTTCTGGAGTGGGAGAAGCAAAGTCAAGTTTACACTGGATTTTTCTACATTCTAAAAAGCCAACTTCGTATTGGACTATCCCAGTGGGGACTTGAACATATACATATATCACATATTCTGAATGTTGGATTCAAATCTTTCCGATCCTTTACTAGACATGATTACAGCTATTTTCTACAAAGACACTGTCCTCAACACTGGATGTGCTTAGGCTATCAAAATGCTAACGTATGGTGTTAGGACTTAAAGGTTGTTCTTCAGACTTCTGACTTAATGCCTTATTGGGGATCATCAGGCATGGAGACAGGTTGGGGGAACTGAGCAGGGAGGTCTAAGGAGGGAGGAGAGGACAGGAAATGAGAAAACAAGATTCAGAGACAAACCACCTGCTCTACCATTTGCCTGGATCCAACTTTGATAACTTCCCACAACCCCCAGTAGGGAATTCACGTGTCTTAGTCCAGTCGGGCTGTTATAACAAAATACCAAGGACTGGGTGGCTTATAAACAACAGAAATTTATTTCTCACAGTTCTGGAAGCTGGGAAGTCCAAGATCAGGGTGCCAGCAGATTCAGTTCTGGTGAGAGCCCACTTCCTGGTTCACAGATGGCCGAATTCTCACTGTGTCCTCACACGGTGGAAAGGGCAAGGGAACTCTCTGGGGTCTCATTTATAAGGACACTAATCCCATTCATGAGGCATCCACCCTCATGACTTCACCACCTCCCAAAGGCCCCACCACTTAATACCATCACGTTGGGGGTTAGGTTTCAACATATGAATTTGGGGGGACACAAACATTCAGTCTTTAGTGTCAGGCTTGTCAGCCCTTTACTGGGATCATACAGATACTTGTATGTCTATTCTTTTTTTTTTTTTAAAGATTTTATTTATTTATTTTTCCCCCCAAAGCCCCAGTAGATAGTTGTATGTCATAGCTGCACACCTTCCAGTTGCTGTATGTGGGACGCGGCCTCAGCATGGCCGGAGAAGAGGTGTGTGCCCAGGATCCGAACCCAGGCCGCCAGCAGCAGAGCGCGCGCACTTAACCGCTAAGCCACAGGGCCGGCCCTGTATGTCTACTCTATTCTCAAAGATTTCCAGAGATGAGGAAGCTATAGAACTCTAGATTGTGTAGATTTCAATTTCAGAGTTTATAGCAGATTCCTTAAAAAAGTCAGAAAGACATTAAACATTGTGCCCTTTATTTATGCCCTTTCCTTA